TGCTTTCGAACTGCAATCTATCGATATTATTGATTTAATGTTATTTAGAAAGCACTAATGTTGTTAAATAACAATACTAATTCTTCGATTATTGTGATGGTCATATAACTGTAGAACATGATTAAGAAGCTATCGAAAAGCATATTATCTGATCCCAATTAGTGACCAAAAATCCAACCCTAAATAAATGTTAGTTAGAAATGAGGTTGCGAAAATCTAATTAGAATCAGCCTTATATGAAATAAGAGGATCAGCGTTCTGATTAAACTGTAATTTGGGGGTCATTACAACCGTAAAAGCCTACAATTAAAGATTAGTTGTAATATGCCTCATAGTCTACTGGAATTTCACTACTGGATTCATACTGTATTTCAATTTGAAGTGTAATAATAATAATATTTCTTTATTTTGCGGCACCTTTATAACTTGTGGAGAGTGGCGCATCGATTGAGACGCTCGACTTCCAACCTCTGGGTTACACGTTCTAAACTCTCTGAATCTACTGAGGTTTGGAAAGCAGCTTACCGTCATTAGCTCTCCACCTAATAGGTGTGACTGCTTGCAGATGCAAGTGGTTTTTCAGATATACAACAACAACAGTTCTGTGGTCTTCGACTGCGTTATTTCCAATCCTTTTAGGTCCTACTTGATGGCAGGTATACGGTGTAGGAAATTAGAACTGAACCGAATTTCTAAACATTAGAACTTTGCACACAAGTGTGCCGGTTGAAGTCATCAAAATTAACACATACCACACAAAGGTAGGGAAAAAAGATGTGAAGAAACCACAATAAACAGGAATGTGAGGGAGGGAGAATAATTACATGGAGAATGTTGTGGATCTGGGCGGTCGCAAAGATTAAATGCGTCTGATCTATTGAGCCGTCTCCAGTCACACTGTTCACAGTTTATACCCACCTACCTAAGTGGCTGAAAGTAGCAGTCGAAGAATCTACAGATTGGTATCATGTTTTGACTTGATCACCACCCGCAAATCTTTTTCAATTTAGTCTTGTATCAGCTTACATTACTCGACGAGGAAGGTGGTGGTGGCTCGGTGTGAGTGACAATTGTCCTATATATGAACGAAATATTCCCATATTGAGTCATAAGGAGAAGACGTAAACAACGAGGGAAATTTTCTTTTCGACGACTCATTTTCATAAGCTGCTGTCCAATCGTAATTATATTTGACAAAGAATTCATAAGACCAATCAGATACTGGTAAAATTTGTCCTCGAAAAGTATTACGTAATGTGAGGTGTAGTCTAGATGGGGTCACTCATTGGAAATTAGAAAAGGGGTAGAAGTTGGGATGACGTAGTAGCTGTGAGAAATCGACTAATCAATATGGTTGTGTAGAGTGGACAAGAAGAAGTGGAACGACAATAAAGTATTTTTATAGAATGTGTGAAAACACAATGATATTAATAAACAGTAGTGAAGTGATAATAAAGTAAGGACGATGAGAATAATAATAGTAAACTTACATAATAAAAGCAGGAAAAATTATGGTGAGGGCGTTACTGTGGCCACGCATCGCCACCGAACAAAGCATAGAATGGCAGTCAAACCTCACTCTACCTCAACTTTCATCGACCTCGAAAAGGCCTTCGACAGCGTTGACTGACAGGTAATTTGGAAACTGCTTCAACACTGCGGTGTGCAACGGCCAAGTCTTTATCAACCTCATTCAACAACTGGCTATATGACAATGCCGCGTGTCAGGTGATCCACAACGGAAAACTCAGCGAGGTGTTCGAAATGCACACAGGAGTAAGACAAGGCTGTTCGTTATCACCGATGATATTCTTGATTGTGATGAACTGGATTATACGTCAGACTGCTGGGGAGCGAGGAGTCAGGAATACGCTGGACCACTGATAGGAAGACTAGAAGGTCTGGATTTCGTGCACGGATGATATATGTCTAATGTCACACAAACTCGAAGACTTGCGAGCGAAAACCAACAAACTGAAGAGGTAGCGGAAACGGGACTGCAGGTGAACACAGAGAAGACGGAGGTAATGAAGATAACCAAATAACAGCCACCAGCGCCAGTCACCATCAACGGAAGAGATTTAACAGAGGTTGCCTCCTTCGCTTATCTAGGAAGCATCGTTTCAACTACAGGCAATAGAACGGGTGAAGATGTCAAAGCCAGTCAGAATCGGAAAAGGTAAGATACACACGGCTTTATCGACTTGAAAACAATTTGGAAATTTTCTGCACTCAACATAAGGAACGAGATTCGCATTTTCAACATCAATGTGAAGTCGGTCGTTCTATACGAGTCAGAATCTTGGAATGCGTGTCACGAAAAGGATTTCCAACAGTTAGTGGCAGACTTTCATCGACAGCTGCCTTCACTAGCTCCATACTGAAGATCAAATGGTCAGAAACTGTGGGAACAAACCAACCAAGAACCGATCGCTCAACAAGTATGTAGGAGAAAATGGAGATGGGTGGATCGGGTATACTTTGAGGAAACCGACATCGCGCGCCAGGCCATCGCTCGAGTGTAATCCGAATGGGAACCGACGAGTGGGTCGTCCTAGGGTGACGTGGAGGAGATCGTGTGATGACATGGCATACGTAACATGTATCCTAGCTATCTTGATTGATACTGCTTCACAACCTCATCAATCAGCTTCCCCTCCTTAATAAACAGTTTATGCGTAACTGCTTAGTAAGGAAGAAAGAACGCGGAGACCTATGATGAAAGACGCTTAGCTTCGTCATTTCTTTCACTTTTAACAATCGCATCTCTCATCACAGTTGCAAAGACCAACACAGCGAACTGACAACTCCGATGAGAATGATGCTCAGGAGGGATTTGTGTGCTTTTGGAATTGTGTGGTTGGTTGTCACTTTCCGGATGCCCACTCCATGGAAGTTGATTTTTTCTTCGGGTACCTGAAATAGAAACAGAGTCAGTGTTGCGTGACCGCAGAGCCCAAAGGACAACTGTTTGGAGCCTGTCACACGCGGAGTGTATGAACTGGTTTCTTGGTTTGTTTCCGTGTTAGCAACATTACCGCCGAGTATGGACCACCGTAGGGTAATTCGGGATGTCAAGTTTTTGGAGTCGACCTTTCTTAACCCTCTTTCTCCAGAGTGGAGTGACAGCACAGCTGGCTGGCATGCTGGTCATCTGAGGGGGTCACCTTACAGCTGTTACATCCCTATTCCCCAGCAGTACAACTTCGCCCACAGATCCTCAGCATGGTGTAAAAAAAGCTTCTTCTACTATGCCGGTAACTGCTTTTAGTCTAATCGCTATCCTAACAGTGTTTCTGTCATGGTAGTACTTGCAGGAACAATAGTTCCAGCCAGTGTAACTTGTTGGGTCATTGCGATATGCGCAAGGCCGGCGACCACCACGTCAAAGTAGCAGCTATCGGTTGGGCAAGTTGGAAGAGAGCCAGTGGTGGTCAAACCAAAGCATGGTATCAGTCAATGAGATCCAGAACAGTTAGTTTAAGCCAGCCAGCCATGGAGGGAGGTGTAGACTCCGCTACTGGTTGGCTTCCTCGGGACGGTAAATACCAATGAAGGCTGGAGACAATTGGTGACATGGCTCGAAATCGTTCTCGATGATGGTGCAGATGCATCCACTCCTTGTGGGAATTATAATACCCAATAAAACTATATTGTTCTTCGATATTACTATCCTTTCTACCTCATATCTCTGTTTCGCATTTCTTTTTACTTTCTTCTTCTCTGGCTTTGTGTGCTAAGTGAAGTGTGGCAACTCGAAATGCTGCACATCGGTGCAAAGTTCTATGTTGAAACCAGTCAGTCACAATTCTGACGACTAGGCACAGTAATGTCAAGTAGCATATTGGCCTCCAAAGCCTCAGGATGGTCAGGGGTGGGTGCCTTGCGCTGCGGGTGGGCCACCTCTCCGTTCACCTCTTGAAATGCTCCCATACGACCGGGCGTCTTAAATAGCCTCTCCTGAGGAAGTCCTACTCACTGCCTTCACGTGGCGGAGGTGTTTTTCACCGAAGTGAGAGGGCAAAAGCAGCGCTCTTCACCGGGTTGACTGTCCATTGGATGACAGTCTAGGGGAGATGGCTAAACCCTGATTCCAAACCTCCAACGACTGGCGTATGAAGCTCACCGGCAGACGTATGGACAAAGGGCTTATTGGATGCCCAGGATGTCTGGCCCCATTCAAAAAGGCGTATGAACCGTGCTCCGGCCACCGGCTTCCAATGGATAGTGGACTCCCTACTCCACTCCTAGTGCCTTGTAGGTCACACTTGGTTGTGTAAAGGCTAGAGATGCACTCTCAAACAAAAGGCCGAGCGATGCTGGGGACATCACTCGTGCCTAATTCCCATGAAACTTCATGAACTCTCTACAACATCAACCAAATTGCAGTACTGGTCCAACAACGTCGCCTTCGGTGGTTTGGCCATGTTCTGCGCCGACCAGATGACGATCTGGTCAAATCAGTTCTAAATCCCTTGCCATTTCCATCTTGGCGATGTCGCAGGGGTGGACAGCTGAAAACATGGCTTGGTGCAGTCAAGGCTGATATGGAATGCCTGGGGCTACAAACCGTCTACGGACTCCGTCTGTGGAACAAGAATTGGATAACCCTGTCGCAAAACCTTGCATCAGATCGCCGCGCCTGGGCAGCGATGATTCGAGATGTTTATGAAGCCGGCTCATCCTCCCGTAGGAGATAGCCGAAGTAAAGTAAAGTAAGTAGGTAAGTAAGTAGCATATATTGACAAATGTATCTATCTGTCTGAGAAGCCCCAGAGGCATCCTACTAATCTACGGACAACAAATTTATACGGTGAATGGAATGCTTATTTGAGCGTCTAGTGCTAAACAGTACTCTCCTGTTTTTCAAGAACAAAATAGATGCAAATTTCTTTTATTCACTATCTACATGAAATGAGCATATAAACACAAAACAGTGTGTGTATATCTCAGTGAAATCTTCTCTCTGTACAGTTATCAGTTTTTTACGTTTAGAATTTTTAACATTTTTCATATTGAGAAAGACGTTGGCGAATTTCACATAGTTCTTGTTCTAATTCACGATTACGCCATATTAAATAATCAATTAATTGATAATTTGAGAAATTGTCTTTCACTGGTTGATCTGTTTCTTCACCGGTGGCGTTGCCGTTGATACCGTCGTCCAATGGTTGTTGTTGTTGATTTTTAAGTTTCTGAGAACTACTACTATTCGTACTACTAGTGGGGGGGAAATTAGTAGTAGTAGGTATCGAATAACCACTGCCGACATAATTCCTCCGGAGATCTGGGATCTAATAGAGTAAAATAAAGAACAATGAGGGCCTGTAGAAAGAGTAAAGAGTACAATTCTGTCAAAAAAAACAGGTTGTCATTAGTTAGTGTGTAGGGATTTGGTTTGGTTCAAGTTAGAGGACTACTGGAGTAGTATTGGACAACTATTTTGTCCTAGTTTGGAACTCATCAACAGTAAATGCCCACTACGGCTCGAACCCAGGACTGAGCTGGTATTAGATGGTTGAAGGCAATCGGCCACAGGAAGCCCTACCTCATCTAGGTTTCGTGCTGGGCGGCACTCACCAGTCAGCAAGGCGTACCTGCAACTTCGAAGGAACCCATTTCCCCTATGAGATTCGAACCCGCGTCACCCAGCGCTGCAGCCACTGAGCTATTCAGACTTCCGACTGACCTCCTGTAGGGACATGAGTTCCTTCAAGGTTGCAGACACACCTTGCTGACTAGTGAGTGCCAACTAGCACGAAACATAGGTCAAGTAGGGCTTCCTACAGCCGATTGCCTCCAACCATCTAATACCAACAACTCGCAGTGCACCATGATGGCGAGCCACCTAATGGCATGGTGGTCACATTGAGAACTTGACGGGTAGAATTCAGTCTGCACCAAAGGTAGGAGTAGACACATGCACATTACACTAGTTACACCCAGAACTCCCCAGTTACAAGACAAGTTCGTATAGACGTGTTGAAGAACCTACAGGATATGATTCAAAACATGAACGGCGTCAGGTCTGACAACATTTTGACGAGACATACCCCCCCCCTCATCAATAACTTGATGCAAGTTCAGCACCGACACGATTTTTATTTAGACCATTTTAATGTCTTATCAGATTGTTTCACATATTGGAAACAAGTTGTCACATGTGGACAGAATCCTTCTTTTCTTCATCAAGACGATGGGTGATGTTATTAGAGAGGAGGAAAGTATTTCAATTGTTTTCGCTACAATATCAGTTGTAATTGCATTTAACTAGGGCTAGCAATGAACAGCAATTCGACAAAATGTTTGAAATATTGGAGGAGGATGACTGATGATATCGATATATTATGTTACATGATGTAACTATACTTTCTGGGAGCTTAAGATTTCCTATCACAGTCAGACGAGTTTTTCTCCCTTTACGTTCCCAAGGGAACAAAGGGCTCCAAGCCGAAGCTTTGAAGTTTCGGTGGATTATTATTATTATATCCTTTAATTCCTAGAGGAACATAGGGCTTCAGCTGCGCATCTCCATTGCCTTCGGTTTTCTGCCAACGTTTTCACCCCGCTCTAAGTCTGCCTACATGCTTTCATCTCCTCTTACTTCATATGACCTCCTCCAAATCACCCTCACAGTGACGACCAACTCGCCTCTTCCCTTTCGGGTTCAACTCGAGCGATGGCTTGTCTAGTGATGCCACTAACTTGATAGTTTCCTCAGCGTATGGCCAATCCATCTCCATTTCTTCCTGCCTATTTGTTTCACAATCCGTTCTTGCTCTGTTGGTTCGCTCATTGCCAAAGATCCCTGTTTCTGATCTTTTCTGGTCGGCCATCTGATCTTGAGTATTGAGCGAAGACAACTGTTAATGAAGGTCTGAAGTTTGTTTGAGATGCTCTTTATGACGCGCCAAGTCTCTGATCCGTATAGTAGCAGTGACTGACTTCACATTGGAGTTGAAAATCTGGATCTTATTTATGATGCCGAGTGCTGTTGACCTCCGCACAGACTTGAGAGTAATGAAAGCCTGTCTTGCTTTTCCGATTCTGGCTTTGATATCCTCCTCAGTTCCGCCTGTAGTTGAGACGATGCTTCCCAGGTAGGTTAAGGAAGCTGTTTCTTTCAGGGTCCTCCCATTTATGCTGATTGTTGTCTGTTGTTATTGTTGCTGTTGGCTAGGAATCTTCATCATCTCTTTTTTATCTATGTTCACCTGTAGTCCTATCTTTGATGCTTCTTATGCCAGCTTGTTGATTTTCGGTAGAAGTGGTATTTATTTCTATGGGATGGAGTTGCTAGCCTCATGACCAACCTTCCCTCTTTGCCAGTCTACTACTACTGGCTTGGCGAGGTAAAGGAGTGCGTCTGTGGCAGGGGATCGAACTCCGAACCATCTGCGTGGTTGGCCAGCATTCGACCGCTGTGTAACCGATGCACATCTAGTCAGACGAATATTTGAGGATAAAGACAGTGGATTAACCGTTAGATGATATAATTATTACCGCAAACTTCCTATTCAGAGGTTCATCATTGCGAACTTAACCGTCTCTGGGTATTTCCTTTACCTTATTATTCAACGTTGATCTTGTTTGATCTCAGTCACCAAAACTTAATCTTTCATAAACTAGGTTGTGAACCAATACTTATTGTGTGAAGACTGATGATACTGAAGAGTTGTTCAGCTTCGAGTAAGGTGAGAGGAATTCGAACCTAGGATCCATCGAATGCTTAAGCCAATGTGAACAACATCTGTCTGTCTGGATGCAATATAGAACTTGGCACCAAAGCGCAGCAGTTCGAGTTGTCACGTTCCAAATAGCAAACAAAGGTAGACAAGAAGAGTGAAGAGAACCAATAGAGTTTGACAGGTGTGAACAACATATTCACAGGTGGCGTTACGTACTGATATAGAAGCGTATGTTTCTCCTTACTATACTACCACCCCGCGCAATACTGGAACCGGTTCATACTATTCTAACATGAAGACTTACGCTACTAACCTGTTATTTTTTTCCAAGCTTTGAGGTCTCAGCAGCTGTAGGAGGGAGGGGTTGTTAACCGTACGGTCAACTTTCCTTCTTTTCCGTGCTTACTGGTGGTAATCAAATGCGGACCTTCGTTTGGCTGGCTAGCATCCTACCAACGGACCACGGTTACTAACATCCTATAATTATTGAGATGCTGCTCTGTGTGACTACTTATAACTTCTTGAAATAGCATAAACATTAATCTTCAAGAAATGACCACTTTTTCGCTATCTAAAACCAAGCAAGAAAATGGTTAATAAAGGAGGATTTAATGAATTCATCGAACTTTGGTAGAACTCTTCAGCTGCTGAATACTCCACATACATGGATATATATACTTATGGAATTACATTGGGAGATTTAAGACTGATGAGCAAATAAACTACATTGAATAAATTTAATAAATTTTAATTTTTCCTTCACGTTCCCAGTGGAACATAGGGCTCCAAGCTAGTGGCTTTAAGTTTCTGTAGCAGTGTTAATTTTTACAGGATGGGGTTGCTAGCCTCATGCCCAACCTTTCCTCTTTACCAGCATTATTTCTGGCTTAGCAAGGTAAAGGAGTGTGGCTGGGGATCGAACTCTGGACCATGTGGATGGTCGGTGAGCATCCTAACCGCAGTGCCACCGACGCATACATTGAATTAGTCGTGCAGAAAGACAGGTGCGAATGTTTTCCAAGTCATGTTCAAATAGATGCTCTGAAGGATATTTTATATAAGAATGGATGTCCTGAAAAGTTCATCAATAAACACTCTAAAGAAATGAGCTCTCCTGCAAAACTATCCAAACTGTTCCGAAGAAATCTATCTATATCAATTTGCCATACAAGAAGTAGTCAAACGAAGACTCGATAAAGCTATCAAGAGAACTTATTATGCTGCAAAACTTGTTTTCCCTTAACACCACTAAGCGAGTGATTCAACAATCTGGAAAGATCGGTCGCCAATCCTCGACAGACTTTAAACTGCATATATCCATTTGATGAGTGTGTTTATGGAAGCAAATACATAGGTCGTACGTACGAAAAGGCGATTGTCTACTCGTATGATGCAGCATTTGCCAAAATGGTGGAAAACAGCTGAATGGAAAGTGCCAAAAACCTCAGTAACAAAACATCTTGTAGACTATGGGCATGATGAAGACGCTGTCAAATCATTCACTGCTATTGTCAGCAGACAGACAAAGAAACAAGAAGATGCTTGCAATTGCGGAGGAGGCTTGTGAAATTCGAGTTTACAAACCAGGTCTCCTTGTACAAACGGAGATGGTCGTCACTTTGGATCTACCATGGTAATATACGTTTCACTTATTATTCTACCTCTTATTATTATTATTCTTGATTCATTTAAAAGTATCCTTTATCAGTAGCATTATGTTAACTCACTTCAACACTATTATTACTAGTGTCAGTGTTATTATAACTATTACTACTGATATTACTCTGTTTGCAATTCTTGTTATATTTTCTAATGACTGATTGTTTATTTAAGTGATGTAATTGAAGCGTAATGCAGTTTATCTTAATTTTGATCTCTCATACTCCCTCTCCCCCACTTATCTATTTGAACATGACCTGGAAAACATTCGCACCTGTCTTTCTGCGTGACTAATTCAATGTAGTTATCAGTATTATATCTCCCAAAGTAATTTCAGAAGTATATACATATCCGTGTATGTAGAGTCTTCAGCTGACGAGTTCTACCGAGGTTCGATGAATTCATTAAATCCTGCTTTATTAACCTTTTGTTGCTTGTTTTCACTATCTGTTTGACTTTGAATAGATGTCAAAAGTACTCACTAAGGTGATTGTCAACTCCGTCCTCCTTTATGGCCAGCTGTGAGACCTGGCCATTGAGAGTGGAAGACATGAAAAGATTAGCTGTCCTTGATCATAGATGCCTGCGCTCTATCTCCCGTATGAAGTGGTATAATAAGGTGAGCAATATTGAGATTAAGCTTCAGTCGAGTGCTAGGTAAGGAGGAAGAGGAAATCAATCGACGAGACTGTGAAGTTACACCGATTGAGATGGTTAGGAAATGTGTTACATAGGCATGTCTAGCCATCGCTTTCCTCGACCGACGGGCAATGTTAGCTGGTATAGGATGAAACAGGTTGGAAAAGAGCTAGCCAGTGGTGGTCAAACCAAAACATGGCTTCACCAGTCAATGAAATCCACAACAGTTAGTTTAAGCCAAGTAGGAAGGTGTAGACTGGGGTCCTCGGGACGGTAAAAACCAATGATTGGAAACAACTGGTGATATGGCTCGAAGTGATCGTTCTCAAAGGCTGGCGCAGATGCATCCACTCCTTGTGACTTATGATTTTCATATACATATATTGTTCTTCGTTATTACTATCTTTGTCTCACACCTCTGCTCACTGTCTCTATTATGCTTTTCTTGTATTTTCTTCTCTTGCTTCGCGTGCTACACGGAGTGTGGCGACTTGAACTGCCGCACATCGGTACAAAGTTCTATGTCGAAAACAGACAGACAGAGATTGTCAACTAATTTTTACTATCATAGCTATTATTCAAGTCTGCCAATTAAATAAGCATGGAATTCTAGAGAGAAAAAATAAACAACAACGCTTACCTCTGAATTGACTGACAGTATCTCAACAATTTCATTGGCACTGGGACGATATTGAACGAAAAGATTCAACATTCTTGCAACTAAATGGCTCTTTATAATAATAAGAGAAGGAAAGTAACGAAAAGACTAAACATGTGTACAGAAACATGAATTATAATCATTAACAAAGTAGTCGAACGAAATGAATAAGATATATTATTCAGATTTTGAAAAAAAGTGGAGAGTATTCAAATCAGTTCACTCCATTATGGATAAGATTTTATATAGATAAATCACACAGCGTGGTATTATACAGTAATATTAACTGATGATCACGTTTAGAGCACAAATTATTGTCACTCATAATCATATCAAGTCACTCACTCACTCTCACTCACACAACTTGCTTCCTTCATTTATATACATGTGTGGAATTGGCTAGATATTTAAGTAAAAATTAGTATAGGATAATGTCCATTCAGAGATAGTAACTCACTCAGAGACAAGCTCTGTAGGCTAAAAGACCCGGTGGACGCAATTAAACAAAATAATAAAATTTACAAAATACCCTGCAATGACTGTGAGTTAAGTCAACTATATAGGTCAAACTAGTAGATCGGGGGTAATCGGATTGGCGAAATATAAGAATTTAGCTAAGGTAAGAATGGTTGACCCCACTCGCGAAGATAAGTAATTTAGAAAAAAGCTCAGCAATTGCACTGCATGCATTAACACACAATTACACAATAAGGTGGGAGAGGGTTTAAATTCTTAAAAGGTGGATAGAGAGAGAGGCAGCTGATTACTGAATCCTGCCTGGTTCATCGAGTGTCCCTACACCCAACACATACAACAGAAATGACTCAATGCAAATACCAGAAATATGGAAGATATTATCATCACCAGTCAGTCAAATCAGAGGAGGATAGTAAATAATCTAATTCTATTTTAATTCAAGCATATCACAATATTCTAACAAGTTACTTATATATTTTGACTATATAAACACTCGCCTTATTTCCCATCTGATTGTAATTGATCAATAACACTCGTATTATTATTATTTCTGAATGTACATTATCCTATACTAATTTTTATTTAAATATCTAGTCAATTCCAAACATGTATATAAATGAAGAAAGCAAGTTGTGTGAGTGAGTGACTTGATATGATTATGAGTGACAATAATTTGTGCTCTAAACGTTGTCATCAGTTAATATTACTGTATTATACCACACTGTGTGATTTATCAAAATAAAATCTTATCTATAATATAGTCATGCTCTACCACAGTACCCAGGTTTTATACTTATATCAAATCACTTCACCTCATACTGCAGTTGCGTAGAAAGACAATGAGGAAATCATCAGAATGAAAATACTCAGTCCAGAAAATATAGTCACGTTAAAGGTTATATATCGATTTTATTTGGTGGATGGACTGGAAATGAAATGGAGAATACACTGTTATAACTGCACTGAATTAAGGTAAACCCCGTCGCCAATTTGTTATAACTGAAGGGAATTGAGTGATAGACGTTTTCACCTTGCTCTGTCTGCGCCTGAACTAATCTGCCTATCTGCTTGTCGTACCTTCCGATTTAGTAAAGCACGCAAATATCAAAAGACAAAGGCTGGACTGTGACTGTGTATTGAAGTGCAACAACGACAAAGAAAGCCATGGTATTTATACATTTTACAACAATATGGACAGCTAACAGCATTTGAAATAATTTATCTTAATAGCCAATAACAAAGTGCGTGAGAGATGATAATATACCATATGTGCGAGATTGACAGTCAATAACAAAATGTGTGGGAATGATAATATACCATATATACAAGATTAGCAGTCAATACCAAAATGTGTGAGAATGATAATATACCATATATACAAGATTAACAGTAAATACCAAAATGTGTGAGAATGATAATATACCATATATGCAAGATTAAACAGTCAATACCAAAATATGTGGGATCCTATCATACACATTTCGTTCTATTCGACACTCGTCAAGCTGGGTGTACTTGTAATCCCCACTGAGTGAGTGATGAGTGTGTTCCCTACAAAAGACTCGAACCCAGCATTCACCGTTCAATTAGGCCGCGGAAGCCACCTCTCTCTGTTGAAACAGGTATCCTTGGTTATTGTTTGAATTTATTTGTTATCCGAATAACATCGTCGAAGCGTCTGCAGCACTAGGAGGCGAAATGTAAACAGGAACCTAATTCATTGATTCTGCTTTCGGATAAAGAATATTTGCAGTTGACTCACAACTTTACTTCTTAAAAGCCACACTGGCAGAAAACGGTTACTCCGAACCGATTTATTGACAGTAACAAAAAAGATAAGCAGTCTAAACTGGTCACCGACTCAATTCAAAATAAAACCTTATTCATGAACTTGGGATTCAAAGGTGATCAGGCATCACCGATATGCTCAAAAATGGTCTCTCTAAATCAGTCAGTAAGACGTTCTTTGCAGCACAATAACAAATGACGTTCACCAGCCGCAAGTTGTTCTCCTTGCTGCCTCATCTGGCCGCCTCCATGTGCATTTATCAGTTCATCTGCTCTTGTGGAGCAAGGTATATTGGCCGTAGCCACAGGACGCCGCTTTCCACACGGATACGAGAACATATTCCATCAGCATGGTTTTACAAGAGAAAAAGGAAGTGTGTGAGAGGGCTCTATTCTAGAACACACCTGATCGACTTCTGTCATTCTGCCAACCCTGACTGACTATGATTTGAAGATCATCTACCGAAACCATGCTAAATTGCTAGCCGCGTTTTCTTCGTTACAGACTTCTTAAGACAGCTAAGGCCTTGGCAATTCATGACTTGAAAAGCCAAACCTTTGTGTACAAAAGAAGCATGTACAATTCCTACTTCTGTTTTGGCCGTAGAGGGATAGACATTTGTTTATTTAGTTATTCTATGTACTTTTCCTTTATTACTACGATTATTATTATTATCATTATTATTATTACTATTCTCGCTCTGAATTGTTTCCACTTGACCCACTTGTCACTCCAAAATTATTTTTATATTAACAATGGTGAATTCTATTTTATCAAATTTCACATCATGTTATGTAACATTTTATATTCTCCTACTAATCCTATAGGTATGCGCTCCTTTCCATCATCTATACATCCATCTTATTTATTATTCTATATATGACACTAATTGTTTTGCTACTTGACATTTAACTATGATTGTAATCACAAATATTTTAATTGCATTTCATACCACTATTATTATTATTTCGTGTATTCACACCTTTGATCTAATCCCCTCACCGGATGTAATTTAAAAAAAAAACCATATGTGTATATAATACGATTGTACAGCTTGATAATAAATTCGTTGCATAGAGGATTTCATCATGAGGATGGCATCAGCTAGAGAACCACTGGAAAACCTGGGTGTACTGGACAGCTGTTCGTCCAGGTTTGGGACTCTTCATCAGTACGCACCCACCGCAAGGGTTCAAGCCCAGGACCCTTTGGCTACAAGGTGAGCTGGCTCATAGACCATTGAGCCACTGGGACTCAATCCAATGGGCCTTGAATTCTAACTTCTGCCAATTCACGACATAGTGCAACCCTTTTGCAATGTCTTCTTCGATGAGTTACTGCCTCATCTTCAACTTTGAAAATTAATCAGATGCTCACTTGTGACTGATTCTATTCAGGCAGTTAACCTGGAGTTCTAGTGGGAAGCCGTGACCAGTAGGCTACAGCAGGCTGAAGATGAGGCAGTAACTCATCGAAGAAGACATTGCGAAATGGTCGCGCTAAGTCGTGAATTGGCAGAAGTTAGAATTCAAGGGTCATTGGATAGGGTCCCAGTAACTCAATGGTCTACGAGGTCGCTGGCTTTGTAACCAGGAGGTCTTGGGTTTGAACCCTGGCGGCGGCTGCGTACCGATGACGAGTCCCAAGCTAGACTGGCGAAACAGCTGTCCAGTACTCCCAGTTAGTTTTCCAGCTGATGTCATCTCAATGATGAAATCCTCTATGCAATCAAATAAAATCCTAACAAAACCAATACTTGAAAATAAATTCTTTGTTGAAAAGAGTCTCTTCGCTGAATATTGTGTTCTTAATACTTTGATTGGTCACTAGGTGTAGTAACCGGTCTCAAGCGTGTAGTACTTATTGTAGATACAGAATGTATTTTGTCAGTTTGACTTGAGTTTGCAATGGTGGTGTCACCAAGCTACATGGCTACCCAGGAGAGAAAAGACAGGAATACATTGCACCGATGAAAACACTCTAGAAGATCTGGAGTTCGCGGACGACTTACATTGAATGTCACACAAACTTGGAGATCTGCAGGCGAAAATCAACAACAACAACAAGTACCAATCACTATCAACGGAATTAATTTGAAAGAGGTCACTTCCTTTACACTTATCTGACTAAGCACGGATTAAGATGTCGAAGCCAGCCAGCCAGCTAGGATCGAAAAGGCAAGACAAGCCTTCATCAATCCTCTGAAGTCAGTTTGGAAAGATTCTACACTCCGTGTCAACATAAACAAAAAAAAATTCAGATTTTCAACACCAATTTTCAGTAAGTCAGTCCTTCTTCTATATGGGTCAGAAAATTGACCAGTGTATCACGAAAAGCATTTCAAACAGGCAACTGCAGCCGCCTTATCTGACTTCATACTGAAGATCAGATGGGCAGCCAGAAAGGATTAGCAACAAGAAACTCTGGGATCTAACCAACCAAGAACCTATCGTTCAAGATTTATGCCGAAGAAAATGGAGATGGATCGGAGACACACACTGAAGAGACCGTTGAGCGATATTGCGTGAGAGACAATCGCTCGAGTGGAATAATCTAAATGGGCAATGATGAGTTGGAGGTCTGAGGGTAACATGGAGGAGATCGTATGAGGATGAGATGAGATGAGAAGCTTATGGAGAATCGTGGAACAAGCTAAAGAGGATTTCAGAGAACAGGACAAAGTCGAGATATTCTGTTTAAGCTCTATTTTTCACTCAGAACCCATGGAAATAATAATAATAATAATATAAATACACATCAGGCTTTCAAAGAGACCGATCGTTGAATAGCAAACTTAACTTCGTTCCACATAGAATTAAATCATTAACATAATAGGTAACGATGGAAGATGATGACATAAAGATTTGGCTTTCATTCGAATTAGATCTGAAGCCATTGGTTCGACTCCTGACGTGTGCGTCGGTGGCACAGTGGTTAGGACTCTCGCCGACCATGCACATGGTCCGGGGTTCGAGCCCACGCCGGCGCACACCTGATATCTATGGTCGGCCTGCAAAATTTGGGCTACCGATATCATATGCTGAAAATTCCATGACTGTACCGAAAATACAGCGTGGAATCAAGCTGTAAATCAAAAATAAAAAAAATAAAAATAAAATAATAACAACACTGTGCAAATGTGCAACACTCCGCACAAGAATTGAAATCTGAATTTTCAATATCAGGGTCAAGTAGTGAGTGCTTCTATACGGCCCAGAGACTTAGTGCGCGTGTCACTAAAATCATTTATAACAGTCCTAATATAAACTTTCGCCAGTAGCTGCTTTGATACTGTTTGACCAGTTACTGACCAGAAAGGATAAGCAAGCAACAAGGAACACCAGCAGGTAGCGAACCAACACCAAGGACCTATTACCCAACAACTAAAGATGGTAAGAAGACCGTTAATTGACATCATTGGCCAGACAGGCTGTTGTGTAACAGCCAGACTAGAAACGACAAGTTGGGCGTGGGGGTAAGAGGGTGATATGGAGAAAATCGATCGCATGAAGAGGAAAACAGGGCTTGTGAATAGTTATGGAGCCAGCTGAATGTACTAGCAGATAATCGAATGCATTAGAAGTCCTGTGCTTAACTCAGGAGGCAGGAAGCAAATCATCCAGATAATTTACCGCCTTTCCACTCTCCTTTTTTCCGCATTACCAACTTCCGTACTCACAAGTAACAGAGAGTTACAAACTCCAGCTAGCTTACTTCCGCATCACACCACGAATACTCACTAAGCGATAAGTAAAGACATGAAACAAAACAACACAAACAAAAGAAATTTAAAAAACGGCTTACTTCATATGGCCATGTTGTTTGCATTGAACGAGGGAATAAATTGAACAGATAATCGATTTCACCACCAGCACCACCTCGTTTAAAATGGAAATTACTTGCATATCGATCGGTATGGTTGTTTAACGATTGATCTGACAGATTTACTACTACTTGTGGTGCATTGCTAACAAATTCTTCTAAATAATTGATTAATTCTGATTTTGTAAAACATGGATGTAGCATTTCAAAGTAGATTACACCTAAACTGTAAATATCAACCTGTAATGAAATATATGAAAACAGAATGAAGTTATTATAATAATTTTTACGAGTTGATCACGGATTGATATCAGTTAGCTGTTTCATCCCAGTTTGGGAATCATCGGAAGTACGCACCCACCACGGGAGGTTCGAACCCAGGACCTTCTGGTCACAAGGCAAGCTGGTTCGCATACCATCGGGCTACTGGGACCCGATTCAATGGACAGCCAGCCCATGAATTCTAACTTCTACCAATTCGTGATTTAGCGCGACACCAACCATTGTCGTAGGTGGGATATCCATCCTTACACGTGACATCTGGGTGGATCTCACTGGTCACGACTTCTCACTAGAACTCATTCCAGGAAACTCCATCCTGTAGCAAGTCACTAGCGAGCATCAGAATAATTTTCTATAGTTACAAACAAACCAGATGGAGTTTCCTGGAGTGAGTTCTAGTGAGAAGTCGTGACCAGTGAGGTCCCCCAGATGTCACGTGTGGGGATGGATGTCCCACCTACGACAATGGTTGGTGTCGCGTTAAATCACGAATTGGTAGAAATTAGAACTCATGCGTAGGCCATTCAATAGAGTCGGGTCCCATTGGCTGAATGGTATACGAGCCAGCTAGCTTGCCTTGTAACCAGAAGGTTCTGGTTTCGAACACCACTGTGGTGAGTGTGTGCTGCCAATGATTACCAAACTAGGATAAAACAGCTTCCCAGTTGTCCCTGGTCTTCAATGCCTCTCCAACTGATATCAATCCGTGATCAACTATTCCTTGCAAACCAAACTATAGAATATTATAATCATTACCATAAGACTTTTTTGTACCAATAAGATAAGAGTTGACATAAGTTACAAATTATAAACTAATGGACTGCCTTCTCTGAGTGGTAGAATGACCATCATCGACCTCATCTTACAACATGAAAGTGTTAGGTTCGAATCCCCAGGGGGTGCATACAGATGAAGAGCAGCAAATAAAGAGGAAACAGCCATACAGTACAGTGGCTCTCCAACCGGTGTGACAGTTCGTCATGAAATCTTACTTGAAGATAAGATAAGAAAATTAATCTTTCCCCAACCTGGCATGAAATTTACCACTTAATAACCTAACACTTCACCAAGCATATTTTATTAATGATGACAGCATTATTTGCCTGGTTTCTCTAACTTGCTCAGCAAGCGCTTCAAGGTCACTGGTGCGGTCGCACTCCACTGGTATTCAAAGTTTAACTTGGCCTGGATTAGTTAATCTTATCTACTTCAATGTGTCTATTGATCGATGAAATATTTGACTACCAGACTTCTAAAAATTCTCTGACATTTTTGATGTTTCCACATAAAGCATCCAGCTCAAAGAATCCACCTACACCAAAATCAATTTATCCACCTGAGCTACAAATCTTCTCCATTATATCCAATTAGCAGACATTTCAGTATCATACTGGACAGCATCATAAGTGTAAGCTGAAGAAGACGAAGAAGTAACTTAACCAAACACGATTATTTGTGACAGGCTATTTTATGTATATTTAATCCTTTGAGTATTCTAAAATTAGATTTGATTTTGATTACAGCTTGATACCACACCGTATTTTCAGTACAAGTTGAAGGCATGAAAAGGTTGACCGCTTTCGATCATAGATGTCTGCGATCCCTGTCTCACGTTAGGTGGTTTAACAAGGTAAATAATGTTGACGTTAGGCATAGAGTGTAGGGCAAACACGGAAAATCAATCGACGAGGCTATAAAGTTACATAGATTGAGATGGCTAGGTCAGGTGGTGCGCATGCCTAACCATCGCCTCCCCCGACGGGCATTACTAGCTGATATAGATGCAGGCTGGAAAAGAGCCAGTGGTGGCCAAACAAAAACATGGCCTCATCAATCCATGAAATCCTTGACAGTTAAACTGAGTCAGGTAGGGAGATGCAGACTTCCGGGTCGGGGCCCTCGGGACTGACTCTAGGAATCAATGGCTGGAGACAATAGATGACACGGTTCAAAATCGTTGTCAATGGCGCAGATGTATTCAGTCTCTGTAATCTTTCATATTCCTCCTTTCTACCATTACCCATTCTGTTTCACCCTTTATACTTGTCAAACTCTATTGATTCTCTTCACTCATCCTTCTTGTCTACCTTTGTGTGGTATTTGAAACGTGGCAACTCGGACTGCTGCACTTCGGTGCCAAGTTCTACGTTGAATTCAGACAGAGAGACAGACAAGTATAGAATTTTCAGCATGTGATATCGGTAGCCCAAATTTTCCAGGCCGACTATAGGTATCAGGTGTGCGTCGACAGGGGACCGAACTCCGGACCATGTGCATGGTCGGCGAGAGTCCTAACCACTGTGCCATCGACGCACAGTTAAACTGACTAGGATATCCTTCGCTTAGGTGTAACTCCTCCCCCGTAACCCGTGATTTTACCAGCTGAGGGAATACACAATTCCTAGGTGATCGAATTTTCAACTCGATGGACGAATGGTTTCAACTAGCTCGACTGCTTCAGGAGTCACGGATGCACACTACTGAAGATTCCTGAACTAGGACGAAACAGCCATCGACTGACTGTTTCATGGTTTCTATCCATGATTCTCTAACTTACAACTTAAAAACAATAATTACCACTACTACTACTACTATTAAAAATAATAGTAATAATAATAACTACAAACCTTGTAGTCATAGAAAGTTCTTTGTGATGTTTTACTGCCACAATGATATTGTACTTCAGGCGCAGTGTATATAGAACTGCCTAAATTAGCAGTTAAATAAAATATTGGCGCTTTTGTCGGTGTCTCCATTCCTGTTGTCGGAGTTGGTACTGGTAAGTTGTAGGTGGAAAGTGGTAAATGCTTTTCGTCAGAAATCCCATTTTTTGGATATTCATCATGATTTGTTGAAGGCTCTTCCGCTTCTTCTTTATAGTCTCCGTTAGAATTCAGTTGATTTTCATGTTTATTATGCATAGAATCTAATGAGTTATTGACACATTGATCATGTTCTGATAAATTACTGAAAAGTAGAAGGGTATAAAAGTTTATCTTCATTGAAAGAATATTATTATTAAAACACAAAATATTATAAATTATGAACACCAAGAGATCCTAGTTTGTGTAAGGGGGGGGGCTACTTCCAGGACGACCAGACCGAAGCACATGCTTGCCTTTACGGACTATCCCTTGGAACACTGACTCGAAATTTGGTCCGAAAGCAAGTAGGACAGCTTCAAGAGCTGCTTCCTCAGTATTTCCAGTGACCAAAACAGATTTATATGCCATACGATACGTTCGGATTTCGGAGCTTATTTTTTTTTGATTTACAGCTTGATTCCACACTGTATTTTTGGTACAAGTATGGAATTTTCAGCATGGATATCGGTAGCCCAAATTTTGCAGGCCGACCATAGATATCAGGTGTGCGCCGGCGTGGGCTCGAACCCCGGACCATGTGCATGGTCAGCGAGAGTCCTAACCACTGTGCCACCGACGCACAGCATGGATTTGGAATCGGGGTTTTCCAGCCCCCTCCTCCCACCAGGGTACGTCAGCATGTTCACCAGTCCAGACATTCGGATTCGCTGTTTCAGTTTTGTGAAGAACACATCCACCGCGTGAAGCTATAGGTTAAGAACATGTGGCCACCTGAGAACATTTCCAGAGGAAGGCTGAAGTCTATTTATTCTTAGCAGTATCAAGTCGTCTATAGAGGCCAGTATGTACTGACGATTTTACAAGGAATCGAACCCAATTGAATTCTTTTCAAATCATAAATATATGGCTTCAAATTAGATTACTTAGATGATACATTACTTAGAGAGAATCATTGAGAACCAAGGGGAGTATTGGGCAACTAGTTTGACCTAATTCGCGACTTTTCAGAAGTAGACGTGGTATCCTGTTGTCGACCAAAAGGTATGTGTATTACTCAACAGTTCGCTCTATCCGCCTTTATGGCTGTGAGACCTGACCATTGAGAGTGGAAAACATGAAAAATCTGGCTGGTTGTGTTTCGAACACAGGTGTCTGCGTTCTGTCTCCCGAGTTAAGTGGTATAAGGTGAGTAATACTGAAAATAGGAGGAGAAATCAATCGACGAGGTTGTGTAGTAAATCGATTGAGAGAGATGGTTAGAATGTGTGTTACGCATGCATGCCTAGCCATCACCTTCCTCAACCGAATGGCAATGTTAGCTGCCTCACATAGGATGAAACAGGTTGGAAAAGAGAAATCTAGTCGTGGCGGTGAAACCAAAACATGCCTTCATCAGTCAATGAAATCCAGAAGAGTTCGTTTAAGCCAGACAGGCAGCCAACCACGTAGGGAGTTGTAGACTTCCTAACTGTCTGGTTTGGGTCCTCGAGATGGTAAAAACCAGTGAAGGCTGAAGACAATTGGTGATATGGTTGGCTCAAAGCGATCGTTGTCAATGGCTCGTGCAGATGCATTCACTCTTTGCGATTTATAATATCCAATCAAACTGAATTGTTCTTCCGTATTACTAGTATTGTTTTTCCCTCATTCACACTTCTGTTTGTTATCTCTCTTTACTCTGTTGTCTTGTTTTTTGTGCTACATGGAGGGAGAGTGGCAACTCGAACTGCTGCACATCTGTGCAAAGTTCTACGTTGAAACTAGTCAATCAGTCTTCAGCAGTATGTACTCACTGGGTTCAAACCCAAGACATACAGGTTATGCGGTGAACCTGTTGGACGCAATCTCATAAATTCTCACTTGAGTCAATTAACTACTTATAGCAAAACATTGTGAATAAATGTCATGAGTGACTATTTTACTCTTTTATTCTAGAAAAATTTCTATGTAACGTAGCATGCTACCCAAATAGAATAGGCACACTAGTAACTAGTGAGATATGTCTAGTCCTTTCTATCCATCAGGTTTGCAATGTGGCCATCATTTAAGGTAGCTCGCCATCCTAGTGCACATTGATTTGATGATATTAGATGGTTGGAGGTAATCGGCCGCAGGAAACCCTATCTGATCTAAGTTCCGCGCCAGTTAGCACTCGTCAGGAAGGAGGAAGGAATTCATATCCCTTCTTCTAAGATCCGAACCCGCGTCACCCTGTGCTGCAATCAGAGACGTGCACAGTGATGACGAACTACCTAGAATGGTGGCCACATTGCAAACCTGACTGACTGACAGAATTTAGTCTGCACCAAACTCCAAGGACTAAACACATTACACTAGTTACCAGTGATTAATCAAAATATCCACTACAGTCCTACAGAAGGAGGTTAATCGCGAGCCCCATTAGCTCAGTGGTAACTTCCTCACTGAAGGCAGCACTGGGTGACGCGGGTTCAAATCTCAGAAGGGACATGAGTTCCTTCAAGGTTTCAGATACACCTCGCTGACTGGTGAGTGCCAACTAGCACGAAACCTAAGTCAGATAGGGCTTTCTGTGGCCGATTGTCTCCAACCGTTTAATATCATCAGAATAGGCTTGCCTTAAAATCTGATGACAGTTAGGTCAATTTTAAGTCATAAACGTAAGTGTATTTTTATTTATTTTTTTATTATAGCTTGATTCCACACAGTATCTTTGGTACAAGTATGACATTTTCAGCACAAGATATCAGTAGCCCAAATTTTACAGGCTGACGAGTGATATCAGGTATGTGTCGGCAGGGAATCGAACCCCAGACCATAGGTATGGTCGGCGAGAGTCCTAACCGTTGTGCCACCGACGAAAACACAGCCACTGAAATGCAAAGCTCAATAAATTGATATCAATCCTTTAATAGGAAACTCTAAGCAAGCCAATTTGAAGTGAACTGAACTCCAGTGATGCCAAAAAAGACTAGATGTTTTTAACTAAATTATTGTTAAAAGCACGTGAGATCAATTCTGGTCACAATGTTTATAAATTAACCTTAAAATCCCTTAAAATCTATTCACACATCACATGTCCTCTTCTCAAATGATAAAATTCAATTGGTGGTACACACCACAAAATAATAATAATAATAATAGTATTTCACCTGTTAACCTTGCTTTAGAAGCAATACATTAACTAACACTGGTAAGATTACTACCCATTGTTATTATTTCCATTATTTCATTCCTTTGACTGACTGACTGACCAACTGGTTTCAACGCAGAACTTTGTGCAGACGTGCAGCAGTTCGAGTTGCCACTGTCGGACAACTGACTCCTTCTCAATCTCGCCTATTTCACTAGCCCGTAGTAAACCTCATGGAAAATAGGGAAGGTTGGGTGTAAGGTTGACAATCTCACCCCGTAAAAAGCAACATTACCGTTATATGGAAACTTTAAAGCTTAGAAGATCTATGTTCCACTTGAAATTTCAAAATTACCGTACTCAGTCTGTCTGTTCTCGACATAGAACTTTGAACATATGTGCGGTAGTTCAAGTTGCCACACTCCCCCTATGTAGCCGACAAAGCAAGAAAAGAAAGTAGAAGAAATGCATAATAGAGACGGTAAACCGAGGTGTGAGACAAAGGAATGGTTATAACGAAGAACAATATAAGTCACAGGGAGTGGATGCATCTGCGCTAGCCACTGAGAACGATTTTGAGCCATGTCACCAATTGTTTCCAACCATTGGGTTTTACCGTCCCGAGGACCCCAGCCTGGAAGTCTACACCTTCCTACATGGCTTAGACCAACTGTTGTGGATTTCATTGACTGGTAAGGCCAAGTTTTTGTTTGACCGCCGCTAGCTTTTTTCCAGCCTGACCCTATATCCGCTAACATTGCTCGTCGAGGAAGGCGATGACTAGGAATATCACGTAACACATGTCCTAACCATCTCAGTCTTTGTAACTTCACGACTTCGTTGATTGATTTCCCCTGTTTACCTAGAACTCGACGGCCTAACCTCAATGTTGCTCACCTTATTCTGCCACTTTACACGGGAGATAGAACACAAGCACCTATGATCAAAGACAGCTAATCTTTTCATGTCTTCCACTCTCAGTGGCCAGGTCTCACAGCCATAAAGGAGGACGGGGCGGACTGATGAGCAGCACACCCGCCCTTTGGTCGATAGACGAATATCTCGTCTACGCCAGAGTCGGCGTAAACTGGAATATGCGAAACGAGCCCCCTGTATTGGTGCTGAGATTTCGTCAGAGATTAACCCGTTGGCGCTGGCTGATGGTACTTCCCATATTTATTGGTGCACGTGTATATAAATTGACAATGTCAAAACCAAACTTTTTTTGATCTTCATTATCTAATTTTAAATTACCTAATCAATATTTCAGTTCATAGGAATTTGTTAGTCTAGATTTTGAGTGGCTATCACAGGGATTTAATACCAAGGAAACACACTGATGAGAACTGCTGAATGACATCACACATCAGGTAGACTCTTGTGTGGAACCAAAATAGTGCCGACGATGAATTAGTCATGAATCCGAGGGCGATATTTAAAAAGGGTGTGTAAGGAGAGGAGGGGGGGATATGAAAGCTGTTAATATAGGCCATTGTGAAGCAAGTTTTAAAAAAAGACTACACAGAACACAGTGAAATGGAGATATGCTGATTTGAAGCCCAAGGTTACATTGAGAAACAAAACTACCCCCCCCCCTACAAACCAAACTATAGAAAATTAATCTAATGCTCGCTAGTGACTTGCTACAGGATGGAGTTTCCTGGAATGAGTTCTAGTGAGAAGTCGTGACCAGTGAGATCCACCCAGATGTCACGTGTGAGGATGGATATCTCACCTACGACAATGGTTGGTGTCACACTAAACCACGAATTGGTAGAGGTTAGAATTCATGGGCTGGCTGGTCATTGAATCGGGTCCCAGTAGCCCAATGGTATACGAGCCAGCTTGCCTTGTAACTGGAAGGTTCGAACCCCAGAGCAGTGGGTGCGTATTGCCGATGATTCTCAAAACTAGGAAGATGAAACAGCTGTCCAGTACTCTCTGGTGGTTTTCAATGGATCTCTAACTGATATCAATCCGTGATCAACTCGTAAAAACGAAACTAACCCTTACAAACCAAACTATAGAAAATAGTAATAATAATAATAATAATCATTGTAGAGATATTAAATTTATACACAGCTAACTTTTCCGATATTGACCATTTTACATTGAACACTTACTTTGACGAATTACCTGATGGATTTTTAAATTGAATTAAACTATCTGAATCTGTAGTCTTGCTGGACGATGTCGACGACGTTAATGATGATGACGAAGATGATGGTGACGACGAAGATGATAAGAAAAACGACGTTTTTGAAAACTGACGAGTATCATTCAGCAGATATCGATGAGGATAAGAATCATTTGATAGAGATGATGATAATGAATTTGATGTTGTTGAATGTAATTGAGGTGAAGAATACATGCGTGATTTATATTCACTTTCTTGGAGTATTTTCTTATTGTCATATAAATGAAAATTATCTACAAGTGAATCAATAAAGGGATGAGTGGTATAGAGTGAGTGACCTGTTGCCATTGTTTAATAGTGTAGTTAGCAGGGGAATTAAGTCACTGAGCTCGTTTCGTCCTATTTGAGGCTCACCATCTGGACCTAAATGTATCACTCTCCCCCCTAGTGAGTGAGCAGAAAATTAGTGATATAAAGCTATTTAAATTGCAGGTACACCCACTAGCTGACGAGTCCCAAATAGGACGAAATCTGCGTTATCCTGGATTTCGCTGCTAGTCACCATCCACTAACTAATTAACTTCTAATTACATGCCGAGACATCGTCGAAGCATCTGCACAAGAAGCCAACATATAAACCTGAGACTGAGCACTTCGGTCCAATCAATCGACGGGAAAATCTAAAATTCAATTAAATAATTAATATGACCCGTTGCACAAGAGTCAGTGGCTGTCGTGGTTAAAGTGTTCTAGTGGATAATGCTTTGGCGTTTGAAACTGCGAGCAGTGGATTCGAGCCTCGGTGGGAACGTCATCACTCACTGACTGGGGGAATGCAGGCACATCCAGACGACGAATCTCAAATAGGACTAAATGCGCGTTATCCTGCATTCTGCTGCTAGCCACCATCTACTAATCAAATTCTAAGTGACGTAAAATTATTGGGAGACAGGATAGGTAAGGCATGTAACCAAGTCAAACTAACATATAAGAATATAAGGGAGCTAGAATTTGGGAACATTTATGGAATTTGAGATAGTGGATAAAGACTATAATAAGGTTTGTGTTAGTTGATATATATAAAAGTCAATCAACATGTTATGCATTGTATCGGCTACAAGGATTCGAACCTGATAGATACTGACTGAGAGTCAATTTCTTTGGTTAATGGGCAGGTTTGAAAGTACGTATCAAGGTTAGTGAATTACAAATTCACTCATTGAACATAATCTACCGCTTGTGGATATACTCACAAGGTACATTGGATAAGGGTTATCATTTTACATAGATATCATAAGAACAAGCACCACAAACTCCCCTTCAGACAAAAAAATCTACCATCCGATAATTTGTACCATAAACATAGAGTTACAGCTATTTGGAGTCGTGGTTCCATGTGTTTAGGGTCTCGTCCATAAATCACTGAATCAAAGGATCGAATGACGCCTAACCCATCATGGTTTTGGCAGTTAGTTGGTAATCAACACACAACAGTGTGTAGCTCATTGTCATTTGCAAGCGATTTTTAAGTAACACAATAATTAGATTTAAAGGTGAGAGATTAAGGTGGCCAGGTTATTTAAACACGTACGGATTATTACTACCATTAGGTTTCTCGTTCATTTCTAATCGCGTATACGTTACACGTATGCAAATATCCGCTCTTAGGAACTTTTACTTGTCAGAGATTGGATTTTCAAGTGTTGATTCAGGAGGATTTGACCGGTCACAGCTTTGATCGTAGGCTGACATCAGTTAGAGAATTGTTGGAAGACCAGGGAGTCCTAGACAACTGTTTCGTCCTAGTTTTGGTCTCTTCAATGGCGCGCACCCCAGGGGTTTGAATCCAGGACCTTCCGGTTACAAGGTAAGCTCGGAGACTATTCAGCCGCTGGTAAACGATTTATTCACCCATGAATTCCCAACTAGGACGACAGAATTTGGATTTAATTGGTTACGTGGGACATCTCCCAATGTGAATCGATATAAGTTGGAGAACCGTTGGAAATCATAGAGCAGTGGGCAGTTATTTCGTTTGGAGGTGGGACTATTCAGTAGTTAACACTAACAACTCATCATGGATGTTGGCAGGGGAGATGTCAAGTAATCAAGTAATAATTCTAACACTCAACACAAAGTCAGAGACTTCTTCTAAAAAAATTCGACGGGTTAGGACAAATTTAATTCTAATTATTAGATTTCATCACCAACGAATATCAATTAGAGAGCACTAGATAGCTGTTTCGTCCGAGTTGCAGACTCTTTAGTTATGCGCACCCACAACAGCCCGAGGGGTCGAGCCCAGGAGTTTTCCTTAATCTGGCGAAATCTAATTATTATTATTATTGTATCCTTTAGTTCCTAGAGGAACATAGGGCTTCAGCTGCGCACCTCCATTGCCTTCGGTTTTCTGACAATATTTTCACCCTGCTCCAGGTCTGTCCACATGCTTTCATCTCCTCTTACTTCACATGACCTCCTCCAAGTCACTCTTGCACTGACGACCAACTCGCCGCTTCCCTTTCGGGTTCCACTCGAGCGATGGCTTGTCTAGTGATGTCACTCACCGGTTTCCTCAGCGTATGGCCAATCCATCTCCATTTCTTCCTGCCTATTTGTTTCACAATCGGTTCCTGCTGTGTTGGTTCGCTCATTGCCAGAGATCCCTGCCTGTTGCTGATCATTTCTAGGCATCTGATCTTGAGTATTGAGCGAAGACAGCTAGCTGTTATTGAAGGTCTGAAGTTTGTTTGAGATGCTATTTATGACTCACCAAGTCTCTGATCCGTATAGTAGGACTGACTTCACATTGGAGTTTAAAACCCGGATCTTATTTTTGATCCTGAGTGCTGTTGACCTCTACACAGATTTGAGAGTAATGAAAGCTTGTCTTGCTTTTCCGATTCTGGCTTTGATATCCTCGTCAGTTCCGCCTGTAGTTGAGACGATGCTTTCCAGGAAGATAGGTAGGTAGGTGAAGGAGGCTGTTTCTTTCAGGTTCCTCCCATTTATGCTGGCTGATTGTTGTCTGTTGTTGTTGCTGTTGATGTTGGCTAGGAATCTTCATCACCTCTGTTTTATCTATGTTCACTTGAAGTCCTATCTTTGATGCTTCTTCTGCCAACTTGTTACTTTTCACTTGCATATCTTCCAGTTTGTGGGAAATCAAACACATATCATCGGCGAAATCCAGATCCTCCAAGTCTTTTGTGTCAGTCCATTTTATGCCTGTTCCCTCGTTGGTTGCCATTGCCTGTCGCATTATCCAATCAATTGCAATCAGGAAGATCATTAGTGATAGTAAACAGCCTTGCCTCACTCCCGTCCTCACTTCGAAGGCTTCCGTAAGTTTCCCGTTGTGGATTACTTGGCACGCAGCATTGTCGTATAACTGTTGGATGAGATGTATAATTGTCGGTGGCACCTCGTAGTAGCGAAGTAGTTGCCAAATGACCTCTCGATCGACGCTGTCGAAGGCCTTCTCAAAGTCGATGAAGTTGAGATAGAGAGGTGACTGCCATTCCAAGCTTTGTTCAATGATGATCCGTAGAGTGGCGATTTGATCAATACATGATTTGTTTCTCCTGAATCCGGCCTGTTCCGGACGGAGTTTTTCATCTAGGGCTTGTTTGATTCTCTCCAGGATGATGCGACTTAGTATCTTGCTTGGAATGGACAGAAGCATAATTCCACGCCAGTTTTTACATTGACTTAAGTCTCCTTTCTTTGGAAGTTTGAATAAGTAACTGTTCTTCCAATCCTCGGGTACTTTGCCCTCTTTCCACACCTTCTCCAGCAGTGGTGTCATCAAGTCCGCTGTTGTCTCTGGGTCTATTTTCAAAGCCTCTGCTGGGATTCCATCTGGTCCCGGTGTTTTCCCAGCTTTAAGCATCTTGACTGCATTCAGGACTTCTGATTTCGTCGGGGGGTCAGTGTTCACTGGTAGTTCTGCTTCCGTTGTTGGTATTGCTGGACGTGTTGTAGGTGGCGGACGATTTAGAAGTCTTTTGAAGTGTTCAACCCAGTGCTTTCTCTGTTCCACCTCTTTGGTGATTGACTTTCCATTGTCGTCGTTTATTGGCTTAATCTGTGTCGAACGTTTGCCCGAAAGGTTCCTAGTTGTTTGGTAGAGTGTGGCGAGGTCTCCTTTGCCTGCAGCTTGTTCTGCTTCGTTTGCCATGGTTTCATAATATTTTCTGTTGTCTTCCCTGGCACTTTTCTTCACTCTTTTGTTCAGTGTATTGTAGCTTGCATTCAGCTCCTGTTTTTGTTGCTCGTCAGTGCACTGGATAATCTTTTGTTTCACTATCCTTCTCTCTTCTATTAGTTTCCAAGTCTGTCTGTCTGTCTGTTTTCGACATAGAACTTTGCACAAATGTGCGGAAGTTCAAGTCGCCACATTCCGTGTAGCACGCGAAGCAAGAGAAGAAAGTACAAGAAAAGCATAATAGAAACAGTGAGCAGAGGTGTGAGACAAAGGAGTAATAAAGAAATACAAAACAGTTTCATTGAAGATCATAAGTCACAGGGAGTGGATGCATCTGCGCCACTGAGAACGATTTTGAGCCATGTCACCAATTGTTTCCAACCATAGATTTTTACCGTCCCGAGGACCCCAGCCTGGAAGTCTACACCTTCCTACGTGGCTTAGACCAACTGTTGTGGATTTCATTGACTGATGCCAAGTTTTTGTTTGACCGCCGCTAGCTTTTTTCCAGCCTGACCCTATATCCGCTAACATTGCTCGTCGAGGGAGGCGATGACTTGGCATACGTAACACATGTCCTAACCATCTCAGTCTTTGTAGCTTCACGACTTCGTCGATTGATTTCCCCTGTTTACCTAGAACTCTACGCCTAACCTCCATGTTGCTCACCTTATTATGCCACTTTACACGGGAAATAGAACGCAGGCACCTATGATCAAAGACAGCTAGTCTTTTCATGTCTTCCACTCTCAGTGGCCAGGTCTCACAACCATAAAGGAGGACGGAGCGGACTGATGAGCAGTACACCCGCCCTTTGGTCGATAGTCGAACATCTCGTCTACGCCAGAGTCGGCGTAAACTAACAAATGCGAAACGAGCCCCTTGTATTCGTGCTGAGATTTCGTCAGAGATCAGCCCGTTGGGGCTGATGGTACTTCCCAAATAAGTGAAGCGGTCAACGTGCTCTACCACTTCACTTCCTATTTTTAAACTAGGCGTCGATGTAGTCCAGTCCTGTAACATCATCTTGCATTTGGCGGGAGCGAATCGCATGCCAAACATTCGTAGATTGCTGTTCAAGGTGTT